CCTGCAGCTTGTTGGAGCTTAGGTCCAGCTCCCTCAGATGGAGGGGTTGGACTTCAGAGCCGAGGCCACGACTTCAAAGTGAGTCCCTGAGAGACCAACGGCACAAAGTCTGGTGACAGATAAAATTAGTTAAAACTGTCAATTTATAAATAAATATTATCACCATGATTTAAAACACATGGACAGAGATGTATTTGCATTCACTGTTTATTGTAACAATCTTTAGTTTTACATCTCCCTTTATCTCCTTTTTAGCTTAATCCATGTTCAATCCTCTTTTTTATGTGGTATTAATATATTATAGGAGATGAAATAATTACTGAAAACATTTACAGGCCACACTCTTAAGTACTGAAGATTTGTGTAGGTTTGTGTAAAGCTCCTTCAGACAAAGAAAGGTGGTTAATAGATTAATAAGTTTCCTTTATTCAATAACTACAGTGGATTCTATAAATATTAACTTACACAGCCTTCTTGCAGTTCCTCACAGCTGGAATCAGTCTCAGCCATCCCGCTTGTGTTGTGTTGTACTTCTGCAGGTCAAACTCATCCAATACCTTCTCTGACATCTGCAGCATGTAGGCCAGAGCAGAGCAGTGGATTTCAGAGAGTTTCTTCTCTGATCTGTTCTCTGACTTCAGGAACTCTTGGATCTCTTGATGTACTGAGAGGTCGTTCATCTCCATCAGACAGTTGAAAATGTTGATGCTTCTGTCAGGAGAAATTGTGGTCTTCTTCTTCTTCAGGTTGTTGATGATTCTTTGGATCATTTCTGGACTGTTGTCTGTGCGAACCAGAAGGCCTCCTAAGAGTATCTGGTTAGACTCCAGAGACAGGCCATGAAGGAAGCGAACAAACAGGTCAAGGTGGCCATTTTTACTTCGCAGAGATTTTAATGTTGCTCCGTTAATGAGAACATCCAGGGTTGTATCTACGTGTTTTTGCCCGAGAAAAGATGCCAGTTCCTTTCTGTTCCAGTCTGTGTAACAATGCAACGTGTAGACTGCAGCCAGGAACTCCTGAACGCTCAGATGAACAAAGCAGTAGACTTTTTTCTGGAAGATCACACACTCTTGTTTGAAGACCTCTGTACAAACTCCTGAGTACACCGAGGCCTCTGTGACATCCAGACCACACCTCTCTAGGTCTTCTTGGTAGAACATGATGTTTCCATTCTTTAGATGTTCAAATGCCAGCCTCCCAGCTTCAGAAGAACCTCCCTGTCAGCCTCCATCAGCTCATGTGAATTTGTCTCATGTCCCTGATCATACTTGATCTTCTTCCTCTTTGTCTGAACCAGCAGGAAGTGTGAGTACATGTCAGTCAGGGTCTTGGGCAGCTCTCCTCTCTGCTCTGTGGTCATCATATGCTCCAGAACTGTAGCAGTGATCCAGCAGAAGACAGGGATCAGACACATGATGTGGAGGCTCCTGGATGCCTTGATATGTGAGATGATTCTGCTGGACAGATTCTCATCACTGAACCTCCTCCTGAAGTACTCCTCCTTCTGGGCGTCAGTGAAGCCTCGTACTTCTGTTAGCCTGTCAACACATGAAGGAGGGATCTGATTGGCTGCTGCAGGTCGAGAGGTTATCCAGATGAGAGCTGAGGGAAGCAGATTCCCTTTGATGAGGTTTGTTAACAGTGTATTTAATGATGACTTCTGAGTGACATCAGAAACAACCTCACTGTTTTGGAAATCGAAATAAAGTCTGCTTTCATCCAGGCCGTCAAAGATGAACAACAGTTTACAGAGAGCGAGCGTCTCTGCTGTGACCTTCTGTAATGTTGGATGGAAAACATGGAGCAGCTGAAGAAGACTGCAACGCTCATTTCTGATCAAGTTCAGCTCCCTGAATGAAAGCAGAATCACCAGACTGACGTCTTGGTTTCCTGAGCCCTCTGCCCAGTCCAGAGTGAACTTCTGCACTGAGAAAGTTTTTCCAACACCAGCGACGCCGTTTGTCAGAACCACTCTGATGTGTTTCTGTTGGTCAGGGAAGGCTTTAAAGATGTCCTGGCACTTGATCGGTGTGTCATGGAGGGTCTTCAACTGGCAAGCTTTCTCAAGCTGTCTCACCTCATGTTGCATGTTCACCTCTTCACTCTGCCCCTCTGTGATGTAGAGCTCAGTGTAGATCTTGTTGAGGAGGGTTCTAATTCCTGCTTCATCACTTCCTTCAGTCACACGTTCACATCTACTCCTCAGATTGACTTTATGTTCATCCAAAACCTCCAGCAGACCAGTTTTTGCTGAAAAAGAAAGTTTGAGACAAAACAAAGAAAACTTGAGCTGGTAAATACGGCAATTGCCTAGATTATATAGTGACTAATCAAGAGGGTATACATTAGAAAAGATTATTAAGACCATCTGATATAAATAGTGCTGTGGAAGTCACAATTTCTCCTGAACCCAGAAGCTTACAAGCTGATGACAGTCATATCTGCTGGAGCGGATGTGTTTTCAGACTTGAAGGCATAAGCACAAAGGTGTAAAGTCTTACATTGTTCAGTGCTGGTCTGGCTGAGTATCTGCAGTCCAGGTCCTATTCTGGTTCCACATTGTGGACAGTAGACTCCTGTTGGACCAGACTGGGTCCAGCAGAAGGTAATGCACTGTCTGCAAAACCAGTGTCTACAGCTGGTAAAGACTGGATCAATCAGGACGCCCAGACACACAGCACAGCAGGATGGCTGCTCCTCCATAATACGACTCCTCTTCCTCTGTCTGTGAAGACATGTCTTAATAATTAAACTGATCGTTGACTGTTCAAAATATGAAGATTTCACAAATATAATCTAGACGCTCAGATGATAAGAGAGAGCCGGTTATGTGTTCCCTCTTATGTTTGCATTCAGCTCATAGACTCTAGTGAAAATTATTCATTGTATTTCAACCCTCCTCAGTTCATAAAGCCTAATAGTAGCTTCACTGACTCCTGAAGAAATTATGAACTGAACAAATAACCACAACCAGTGACTATTTCATTATCTTCCTTGCTGTCTTAAGAAAACGTTGAATGATCTTGTTAGGAAATGTAATAATCCGGCCTGTCTGTCTGTGTCTGAGGAGCGACCTTTGTGAACCTCCATAATGATGTTTTAATTTTAAGCCTGTTATATGTTCATTTCCAATAGGCTATCCTTTTGATCAGTTTAACATTAACCCTTATAAATCAGTCAACCAATCAGAACTCAACCCACAAATCATTATAGTCTGGTTCAGAAGGTCAGTTCCTCTTCCTTCCTCCACTCTGGATGGAACAACATGGCAGATCGGCGTCCGTAATGGTGATCGTCATACTCATTAAACTTTAGTAACAAAGATTCAGCACTCAGTAGTGAGTTTCTTAAATTGTTTTTGTGTTTGTTAACTTCAAAACTCCCGCAACAGCTGCGGCAACTTCCAATACAAAATCTCCTTTGAAAAGCTGCTAATTTAAACCACATTGTGGATCAGAAAAGTTGCTTGTATTTAATTTTGTATTGATTATTTTGTAAGGAATTCTATTAAATTCAGTTTTATCATTTACATTTTTTTATGTATTCTTTATTTTACGGGGGGGGGGGACTATGTTAGGCCATAATCCATCTGATTCATACACACAAGCTGTAAGTTTCTGCCATGCACATAGCGACACAAACACTACTGTGACTATGGCTGGGTGATAGGACTAAAAAAGTTATCACGATAAAGAATGTCATATCAGATAATATCGATAACTATCACGATCAGATTTTTGTTCCTGTAAGTTTCCATTCCGCTCCAAACTTTGGTATACCTGCCTATCCATATCCCTGCGACATGATTGGCTGCTCACTTTTTTCTTCTTTGATGGCAACTAGCATATAAGGCACATTAGCACCCCTGTTAATAGTGTTTTGGTGGTGTAGTTACAGGTTTAAATATATCAAACATTTATCAATGTTATATTTATAATGAGAAAAAATTATATCGCGATAATTATCGTTTTATAGCCCAGGCCTAACTGTGACAGCCACTTACACAAAAGCAAACATGTCAGCAGCGTAAAAGCAAGGTGCTCATCAGCAGAAGAGAGGAAGCATTGACCTACTGCACAGTTAACAAGGATTGTTTTCCAGCACTTGCTCCTCTTCCCAAAAGTGCCTCACTGCCAAGGGCAGATCTGCGCATCTGGTGTGTCAGCATGTACTGTATGTGTGCTCGCGCTTTTTTTGGGGTGTAAAGTACATTTAATTGTTATTTCATATTTTTTGGTTACGGTGACAAAACTCAGCATGTGAGCGTGTGTTTAATAAGTTTTACCTGCTGTGAGACGTATCACTTTGCAGGAAATTTTATAAATGAATGCATATTTATAATAAACTGATATGAAACAACATAAAATGCTAATCATGTCTTATTTTAATAGATAATTTAACATGTATGTTTTTGTTTTGACTCTACATACATGAAGACACTTCCACCAAAAATGATGGCATACAAAGTAAAAGGTAATAAAAGGTTTGACAAAGAATTAGCGTTTGTGCATGTTAACGTCAGCTTGTCTGGGTGAGTAACTCACAGATACTGAGACAAAGTAGGCTCGAATCATTTCTCTTTAAATCACTTAATGTAAGGGAGCAAATACATCTGAGTAGAAATGGAAGCATTCTTTTCTGTGGGGCCAGGCTCATGACTGCAGTTTAAAGGAGGTTCTTTGGATAATAACTCTTCAAACTGTAACTAAAAGGAACATTGAAACCACTTATTTCTTGGTGACATACTGTACATTTAAATATAATTGTATTATTTAAAAAACTAGGGCTGTCAGCATTAACTATCTAATCACAATTAATTTAGGTCTAAAATTAAAAAAATAATTCATTTTTTCAATCTCGATTAATCACATGCTATTTCGTCCCTTTCGGCGCACCATAGAGAAGCCTTATCAGTTTTCCCTATAGTCACAGTGACGGAAAAGAACGACACTGCTAAATCTTTGAATGTCTCATTTCACTTTAAAAGACAGCTAGGATGACGAATCAAAAGTAATATCCACCTATGATGACACCTTGTTATTTAGTTTATGATCCATAACTGGTTCCTTTTCTGTGGTTAAGTTAATGTCGTAGCCCAAAAACAACCAGGTCTTTTCTTTATTTAAAAAAAACATGAATTCAAACAGCAAATGAAGTACTCTAAGCTTAAGACAATACACACATTTCAAATAAAAGTGCACTGCTGATGTTAATTAGGTGGTTTAAACGTTTATATCAGTTCTCTAACATAAGATCATATCTTTCTAGGTGCCTGACTTCTGTCACTGACACAAACAGGGTGATGATTTATGTGGAAATCAGTTGATTTTAGTTAGCTGATCCATTTAAGTATATATATAAAATAATCTGAAGTGAAAGCAATTCAGTGACTTCTTACTTTGAGTGTGAAAGTTCAGGATCATTTCTGAAGTTTAATGGAAATTCTTTGGAGAGGTCACTACTCATAGACAGACAGCTGGGTACAGGAGACTCTGATGTCGGTCTGCTGGACTCAAATCTGTAAAAATCAAACATGTTTTATATTCATTAGGGATGTGATTGGGAAAGGACAAAAACAGGAACCCACCCCCATTCCAAAGAATAGAAATGTATTAAATTCTTATAGTAAAGTATGTGCAACATTTTACATATAAATATAGCAGAAATCCAGTATATCCTTTGTAAATGTCTCTCTGAGTTATGACTGTCTACAATGTGTGAGTAGCGTGAGTCCTGTTGGCTGTATTGTTGTCAGAGCCATATTTACACAGCGTTTAGATGGACAGGACGGCCTGCCTCATCCCCTTGTGTATAAAATCTATTTAAGTCAAGTAGTGAGAAAAGAAGAATAACATAGCCTACTCACAGTTTATTTGAATGTCAAGTAAGCGTTTTTAGATCATGGTCATTCTGTATCAATTTACATGCAATGTGAAACAGGCTAACTAAAGAGGGCTAACAGTAGCCTGCTAACACAAAAATGCAGGCCACGGGCAACTGTAGCTCGAGCCAAGGACAATTTTGTCCTCCGCTTACACTTAATGGTGTGTCAGTATGGTGCATTCCAATTTATAACTACTTTGTGTGAACGTGAGGAGAGGGGTTGGTGATGTGTCGCTGGGGGAGTGCAGAGGCTTCAGAATAGCGAAAGTGCACCGAACAGCAGTTTGTTTTGGTTTCATACTGGTGCTCAAGGACGACATTTACTGGATTAAAAAGTCACACAATCTACCTTTAAAATGTTAAAATGCAAAAATAGTGTGTGCCAACAAATTCTTTCTTTAAAAAGCTTTATATTTAAAAAAGCTGAACTGAAAGCAATTCAGTGACTTCTTACTTTGAGTGTGAAAGTTCAGGATCATTTCTGAAGTTTAATGGAAATTCTTTGGAGAGGTCACTACTCATAGACAGACAGCTGGGTACAGGAGACTCTGATCTCTGTCTGCTGGACTCAAATCTGTAAAAATCAAACATGTTTTATATTCATTAGGGATGTGATTGGGAAAGGACAAAAACAGGAACCCACCCCCATTCCAAAGAATAGAAATGTATTAAATTCTTATAGTAAAGTATGTGCAACATTTTACATATAAATATAGCAGAAATCCAGTATATCCTTTGTAAATGTCTCTCTGAGTTATGACTGTCTACAATGTGTGAGTAGCGTGAGTCCTGTTGGCTGTATTGTTGTCAGAGCCATATTTACACAGCGTTTAGATGGACAGGACGGCCTGCCTCATCCCCTTGTGTATAAAATCTATTTAAGTCAAGTAGTGGAGAAAAGAAGAATAACATAGCCTACTCACAGTTTATTTGAATGTCAAGTAAGCGTTTTTAGATCATGGTCATTCTGTATCAATTTACATGCAATGTGAAACAGGCTAACTAAAGAGGGCTAACAGTAGCCTGCTAACACAAAAATGCAGGCCACGGGCAACTGTAGCTCGAGCCAAGGACAATTTTGTCCTCCGCTTACACTTAATGGTGTGTCAGTATGGTGCATTCCAATTTATAACTACTTTGTGTGAACGTGAGGAGAGGGGGTTGGTGATGTGTCGCTGGGGAGTGCAGAGGCTTCAGAATAGCGAAAGTGCACCGAACAGCAGTTTGTTTTGGTTTCATACTGGTGCTCAAGGACGACATTTACTGGATTAAAAAGTCACACAATCTACCTTTAAAATGTTAAAATGCAAAAATAGTGTGTGCCAACAAATTCTTTCTTTAAAAAGCTTTATATTTAAAAAAGCTGAACTGAAAGCAATTCAGTGACTTCTTACTTTGAGTGTGAAAGTTCAGGATCATTTCTGAAGTTTAATGGAAATTCTTTGGAGAGGTCACTACTCATAGACAGACAGCTGGGTACAGGAGACTCTGATCTCTGTCTGCTGGACTCAAATCTGTAAAAATCAAACATGTTTTATATTCATTAGGGATGTGATTGGGAAAGGACAAAAACAGGAACCCACCCCATTCCAAAGAATAGAAATGTATTAAATTCTTATAGTAAAGTATGTGCAACATTTACATATAAATATAGCAGAAATCCAGTATATCCTTTGTAAATGTCTCTCTGAGTTATGACTGTCTACAATGTGTGAGTAGCGTGAGTCCTGTTGGCTGTATTGTTGTCAGAGCCATATTTACACAGCGTTTAGATGGACAGGACGGCCTGCCTCATCCCCTTGTGTATAAAATCTATTTAAGTCAAGTAGTGGAGAAAAGAAGAATAACATAGCCTACTCACAGTTTATTTGAATGTCAAGTAAGCGTTTTTAGATCATGGTCATTCTGTATCAATTTACATGCAATGTGAAACAGGCTAACTAAAGAGGGCTAACAGTAGCCTGCTAACACAAAAATGCAGGCCACGGGCAACTGTAGCTCGAGCCAAGGACAATTTTGTCCTCCGCTTACACTTAATGGTGTGTCAGTATGGTGCATTCCAATTTATAACTACTTTGTGTGAACGTGAGGAGAGGGGGGTTGGTGATGTGTCGCTGGGGGAGTGCAGAGGCTTCAGAATAGCGAAAGTGCACCGAACAGCAGTTTGTTTTGGTTTCATACTGGTGCTCAAGGACGACATTTACTGGATTAAAAAGTCACACAATCTACCTTTAAAATGTTAAAATGCAAAAATAGTGTGTGCCAACAAATTCTTTCTTTAAAAAGCTTTATATTTAAAAAAGCTGAACTGAAAGCAATTCAGTGACTTCTTACTTTGAGTGTGAAAGTTCAGGATCATTTCTGAAGTTTAATGGAAATTCTTTGGAGAGGTCACTACTCATAGACAGACAGCTGGGTACAGGAGACTCTGATCTCTGTCTGCTGGACTCAAATCTGTAAAAACCAAACATGTTTTATATTCATTAGGGATGTGATTGGGAAAGGACAAAAACAGGAACCCAACCCCATTCCAAAGAATAGAAATGTATTAAATTCTTATAGTAAAGTATGTGCGACATTTAACATATAAATATAGCAGAAATCCAGTATATCCTTTGTAAATGTCTCTCTGAGTTATGACTGTCTACAATGTGTGAGTAGCGTGAGTCCTGTTGGCTGTATTGTTGTCAGAGCCATATTTACACAGCGTTTAGATGGACAGGACGGCCTGCCTCATCCCCTTGTGTATAAAATCTGTTTAAGTCATGTAGTAGAGAAAAGAAGAATAACATAGCCTACTCACAGTTTATTTGAATGTCAAGTAAGCGTTTTTAGATCATGGTTATTATGTTCATTTACATGCAATGTGAAACAGGCTAACTAAAGAGGGCTAACAGTAGCCTGCTAACACAAAAATGCAGGCCACGGGCAACTGTAGCCTGAGCCAAGGACAATTTTGTCCTCCGCTTACACTTAATGGTGTGTCAGTATGGTGCGTTCCACTTTATAACTACTTTGTGTGAACGTGAGGAGGGGGGGTTGGTGATGTGTCGCTGGGGGAGTGCAGAGGCTTCAGAATAGCAGAGGTGTAACAGAAGAGGAGTTTGTTTTGGTTTCAAGCTGGTGCCCAAGGGCAGCATCTACTGGATTTAAAAGTCACACATTCTACCTTTAAAATGTTAAAATGCAAAAACAGTGTGTGCCAACAAATTCTTTCTTTAAAAAGCTTTATATTTAAAAAAGCTGAACTGAAAGCAATTCAGTGACTTCTTACTTTGAGTGTGAAAGTTCAGGATCATTTCTGAAGTTTAATGGAAATTCTTTGGAGAGGTCACTACTCATAGACAGACAGCTGGGTACAGGAGACTCTGATCTCGGTCTGCTGGACTCAAATCTGTAAAAATCAAACATGTTTTATATTCATTAGGGATGTGATTGGGAAAGGACAAAAACAGGAACCCAACCCCCATTCCAAAGAATAGAAATGTATTAAATTCTTATAGTAAAGTATGTGCGACATTTAACATATAAATATAGCAGAAATCCAGTATATCCTTTGTAAATGTCTCTCTGAGTTATGACTGTCTACAATGTGTGAGTAGCGTGAGTCCTGTTGGCTGTATTGTTGTCAGAGCCATATTTACACAGCGTTTAGATGGACAGGACGGCCTGCCTCATCCCCTTGTGTATAAAATCTATTTAAGTCAAGTAGTGGAGAAAAGAAGAATAACATAGCCTACTCACAGTTTATTTGAATGTCAAGTAAGCGTTTTTAGATCATGGTCATTCTGTATCAATTTACATGCAATGTGAAACAGGCTAACTAAAGAGGGCTAACAGTAGCCTGCTAACACAAAAATGCAGGCCACGGGCAACTGTAGCTCGAGCCAAGGACAATTTTGTCCTCCGCTTACACTTAATGGTGTGTCAGTATGGTGCATTCCAATTTATAACTACTTTGTGTGAACGTGAGGAGAGGGGGGTTGGTGATGTGTCGCTGGGGAGTGCAGAGGCTTCAGAATAGCGAAAGTGCACCGAACAGCAGTTTGTTTTGGTTTCATACTGGTGCTCAAGGACGACATTTACTGGATTAAAAGTCACACAATCTACCTTTAAAATGTTAAAATGCAAAAATAGTGTGTGCCAACAAATTCTTTCTTTAAAAAGCTTTATATTTAAAAAAGCTGAACTGAAAGCAATTCAGTGACTTCTTACTTTGAGTGTGAAAGTTCAGGATCATTTCTGAAGTTTAATGGAAATTCTTTGGAGAGGTCACTTCATAGACAGACAGCTGGGTACAGGAGACTCTGATCTCTGTCTGCTGGACTCAAATCTGTAAAAATCAAACATGTTTTATATTCATTAGGGATGTGATTGGGAAAGGACAAAAACAGGAACCCAACCCCCATTCCAAAGAATAGAAATGTATTAAATTCTTATAGTAAAGTATGTGCACATTTACATATAAATTAGCAGAAATCCAGTATATCCTTTGTAAATGTCTTCTGAGTTATGACTGTCTACAATGTGTG